ATTTGTCAGTCACAAAATCAATAAACATCAATGGGTGAAATTAGCAGACGAATTTATTAGCAATCAAAATATTAAAGAGAAAGAGAGGGAGTGATCTTACATCTCTTGATAAAGGAGGATGAATTGCAACTGGTATGATAGCAGCATACAGACAACCCCAGAAAGCACTAGCAAAAGTAGCAGCTTCATCATTTCTGAACACAAGAGCAACCTAACCATAGCATAGAGTAACATATTACTGGTATGTTTAAATAATAAAATCTGATTCTAAATTTCTAATAATATCATATGACTATAGTGTTTGATGTCATGTGACACATACATGTACATGCATTTAAGGTAATAGAACTAACTGGATGTGACTAAACCAACAGCATGAATCTGCATATTATATTCATAACATCATACAACACACACACAAATACAAAGATACACACACACATGCTGCATAGAACAAAAGCAACAGGTGGACTGATACAACTATTACTACTAAACTTTAAAAATGATATATTGTAAGACATAAATGTATATATACATGTATATTTAAACTGGAACTGTACTATATATGATAGCCTTGAGTATATAATACATACACATATTCTACAGAAATATTATACATATACATGTACATGTACATGTACATGTACATGTACATGTACATGTACATATACATTGTAGATGAATGCATGCACTGTAATTATGAAGAATTGAAGATAAATAAAAAATGATGTACACATTAGTCTACAATACAACTTAAATGCTAGGAATGTACCTGTGTATGTACAGTACACACTTACTCTGTCACCAGGTTGGATTTGTTTACCACCTCCTAACTTGTTGAGCAAGAAATGAGCCACTTTCTGTGACCTGAGAGCCAGTTTACCTAATAATAATAGCAATAATAATAATGATAATAATAATAATGATAATAATAATAATAATAATAAAATAATAATAATAATAAGAGGAGGAGGAGAGTGAGTGGGAATGACACACATGACAGATGTAAAGTAAAATTATAAGGGAGAAAAGAAATAAGAGTAGATACTGTAGTAACACTTTTGGTAGTAAATATAGAACTACATGTAAACAAGATAGGGGACAATTAATATGTACATAAATGATGCATACATGCAAATACATGTAGTTACAATATACCAGTACATGATTGTACATGTGCATATAAATTGAAGTGTTATCGTACTATAAGTGCAAGCAACTGATGCCTTTCCGTGACTATCAACGACAGATATAGCAGGGATGCTTCCCAAGTGTGGAGCTATGATGCTGTATGGCAGCTTCAAGATTACGGTGCCAATCTTGACGACTCTAAGAAATATTAATAATATAATTTACCAAATGTAGTGAGAATTATAATAATGGAATAATGGTAGTGAGTAATAGAAATGAAGCAAAATGTGTGTGATAGAGAAAAAAGTTTATTTTTGTGATGTCTGCATTACCTCCAGTGGTACGCCAGACACAGGCTGCATTGTTGGGCCAACAGGTCTGGGAGCTGAAGGATCTTCAGCAGGTCTAGCCTCTACAAACAAAAAAAAAAAAAAAAAAAAAAAAATAATAATAATAATAATAATAATAATAATAATAATAATAATAATAATAATAATTTTTAAAGTCATAATCAAGAACACTAGCACAAAGGTACATGTATTTCATGACAATCAAATGCTATTGTTGGATTTATTATTCCATTCTCAGATGTACATGTACATGTACTCAACACTAGATCACTAACCTGCTATATCTTCGTCTCTGAAATATTCCTCAATAGGTCTCCGGTTCTTCTTGGGTCTCTTTAATGTGTTCAGGAGCTGTTGAATCTTGTGTGACACGCCTCCTTTGGCAGCCCCAGGGCCTCCTCCTCCTCCAGTCATACCTTCAACTATTAATAAAAGTCATGTGACTATCACATGATACAGTATATCTATATGTACACACCATTTTGAGGTCTTGCTGG